TATAGAGATGAGAGAGGCTTTTATCTCTGTTGATCCACCTCCGTAGCCTTATCTCCATGAAGTTTTGGTTTAAAAATAACAAACAGTATTATCTTTCAAGGACTCTCTCTGTGCTCTGCATCTATTAAAATGATTTTTAGAAGAGCCCTATAGTTACTCACTTAACAGTGTGGGAAACTAATCAATCTCTCTCTCAAAACGTCTGGTCAGCACAAGTCACATGTGTCATAGTTTTGTTTTGCCTGCATTTTTTCACTTGTGTTCTGTTAAATTCTGTATTTTAGACAGATTTTTATGTGTATCATGATCCAGTGAGAGAATCCCAGTGAGAGATGCAAGTCCTCTGGATGTCCAGTTCATCTTTTGGCTACACTGGTGCATTTTTCTGGCTCCTTGCTTTGCTGTACAGCTGATTGCCCACTTATGTGATTGTGTAGTTCTCTTTTTGATTCTATCTGCATTTTGTCTTTTATTTATAAGCCCTATTTTATTAGCAGAGCCCTAGTTTGTGTGTTTGTTTATCTGTGTGTCCTCTGCAGCATTTTATGCTCCACAGCACATGGAAAAACATGGATGCCTGAGTACACAGATATTTGATGCCATCTGTAACCCTTTGTTGAGCCTTACTGAAAAAGTGAAGAAGTTTTCTAAATCACAGACTGAGACATAAAAGAATACACACAGACATGAACACCATCACACACAGATGTGCCAGCCACAAAGCCACATCTTATGAACCAAATGGCGCACCCCAAAAACGTGCTGCTACTGTTGTTGCTATGGAACTTGCATTTCATGTTGCATCTTCTGTTCTCTTCACAGCAAAAGCCCCCCAACAATGACTGGCGTTTCACACAGGGACAGAGACCTGGACCTAGTGGGTGAGTAAACTGACACACACACCCACAAATGTCAAGGACACGTTGTGCTGCAAAAGAGCAGCTTATCGTAAAGGCAAAGAGAGTGACGAAGGATAAGGAGTTTTAAAAAAATAGGGAGATGGTTGTGCGTGCTGTAGCCATAAGAATCTGTTGCCTGCAGGGTGCTGATTTTAAAGTACTAATGACATGAAATCATTATGCAACATCACTAGTGAAATTTATGGTTGCATTTTATTGCATGATTCTATTCCATGAGCTCAGATTCCTGATTTACACTCCTGAATGAGCATCTCTGCCTGTTTCCAGGCTGCTTTATAAAATGGCTGCCGCTGCTTCCACTCCCCCTCCCCCTCCCCTCCTGTTCCTCTCCTCTCTGCGCTCTCTGAGCCTGTGCGCCATCACTCAGTACTACTGATGAGGGACGGTGACCAGAGCTAGTGGGGGGATGGGATTGTGTGTTTATCCTTCTTGCTCTCTCTTCTATCTGAGCAGTCGGACTGACTGAAATGTAATTTTTGACATCAGTTATTTACCCATCAAGTGACAACAGATGAATTGTGTTTCTCTATTTCAGTTGTGTGTTATTGAGTGTGTTTGTTGCTATTTGCCCATGTTGTGTGGGCTAAAATGGAGTGCCTGCAGTTACATTTTTCACAGCAACGATTGCACAACACCTTCTGTGAGTCGAAGTTTCTCTCTGAAACATATCAGCTGGGGCAAAAAGCCCCGTTGAGCCAAGTCAGGAAGATGTTAGACACACACATGCACAAGCCACTGCAGTTTTAGAAGACCACTGGGATTACAGATACATTGGACATAATTCATGTCTGTGGTCAATAAAACAAAAACTAACCTCCCATCTCTGGTATTTTAAATTTAAAATACAGACAACATATTTTCCACATAGATCTAGAGCACAATATCTCAGCAATTTCCTTTTTTTACACTAACCCCAACCTTCAGTCAAATACAACATGGTTGTTTCAGCCTGTATAACTTGTTGTGTTTTTAGTCCCCACATGCCATACGGTACACACATACGATGGACGCCGAAGAGTGGGACAAGGTACCAATTTAGACGTAGACATTGTATGGTCCCTTTGTGTCCTTAGTAGCTGATCAGTGTTCAGTTTTCTGTAGTCAATGTTTGGTGAAAGAGCATCCTGATCAGCTGATGAGGGCAGACAGGGGCTAAAATCCTCTAGGTAGTGCACTGCAGTTGAGTGCTGTGCTGTGTGTAGATGTACTTAACCCATAGCTTCTGTTAGTCTCCCTAAAAGTTTGATGGGGTTTGTTGATCGATGTGCGTAGGCCACAATGCCTGCTGTGGCGTAGAAAGGATTGTGACACTTTTGAGTTTGCGTGCAGTGTTTTGTAGATTTGCTATGCCTTGTATGTGTGCTTATTACATATAGTCATTTTAGTCTGAGAGCTCTTGTTTTCTCTCCCTCTAGGGGACTGGCTTACCATGCAGTGTTGCCTTTGATGTTCGTCTGTGATGGTTGTAGCTCAACATCACCACGTGTGGCTTTTTCATGTGATTTATCACCTGGATGACAAAAGATAGAGACAGTGAAAACAGCCATTTGATGATTGATTGCTTTAAAACAGAGAGTAGAGGAAAACACACATTCAGCTCTTGAGGTCAACATGCAGAGGAGACAGATGCCAGCATGTGCACCATGTGACTGGCTTTATCAGCATAAATTAAGGTTTAGGTTACTGTCTGGAAGGTTCTCTGCTAAATCCTTGGAGATAAAACATGTTGCATAAGGTTATAGAGGAAAATTGATAGCAATGTCTGGCCAACCAAGGACATCCCTCTGGACTACAGTTCACAATCTTGCCCACAGGAAGTGATAATCCCAACCACAGGAAGCGTTTAACGCAACCACAGGATGTGATAAGCACAGAGAGACGCTAATTTGGAACAAGTGAAGCATTCCCTTTTATCTTTACTGATGTGAAGAGGCACAAAATGGCTGCCCTGGCTTTACTGACCGTGCTCTTATGCAGCCTGTTTCTCATTGGCTGTCTGGCACAGGACGTACATGTTTCTCTCCCTCAGTCTCTCTCTGGCACTGAAGTGAAAACCACTTCAGAGTTTTGGCTGTGTGATTTGGCAACCTGCTTTTGAACAGAGCCCAGTTTTTGTGTCAGAATTCTTTTTTCACTTTTTCCCCTCATTGTGTCCTTTACTTTCTCTTAACTCCCTTGAGCAGACCAATTTGTCCAAGGGTTTTTTTTAAGTTGGTTGAGTTGTAGTTGTTGTTATCGATATACATACAGTCTTCCTCATGTTATTACTACAGCCTTTGTTAGAAGTAGGACGTAAGAAGTCAGTGTCATTGCAATCCCTAATGTGTCTATGACTGTCCTCTTTGGAGCTCTGCACTCCACCAGAAGCTTTTACCCATGTCCCTGTGGATTAATGATCCTCCACTAAACACCCTCAGGTGGTTTGCTGTTGCCCAAAACAGTCAAATAACAAATGTTGTTACACACACAGACACACAATTCAGAATGTTGAGTGAGAGAGCAGATAAAATCATCGATGTTGTTTTTGCACTGATACAACTGAACAAGCAGTATCCATAGTGTACTGGTAGCATTAAGGTAACTTAATGATAATAATAATACTTCAGTTTCACTGACAACTAAAGCCACCATCTAAAAAGCCAGATTTAGATGTTTTTTAGCACTTTGTGAACAGGAGCAGGGCCAGGATTAAAGTACTGTGACCTAGTGGTCAGTTGTGGAGCTTGTGTTGGTGTGTCACAAGTGTGGGAATGGAAGTAAGTAGGTGAGCATAATAGATCGCAGGTCTGCTTTCTCCTTTGTTGCCCCCACATGCAAATTGCAGACTTTATATAAACAAGCCTTTGAAGGTGAAGTTTGCCCAGATGGAAATGTTCAGTGCTCACTGAGCGTTGCATGTGTGACTATGCAGACAGCTATTTCCTTTAAAGGTGGGATCATTAAATATTTAATCAGATTTACTAGACTGCACAACATTCATGATCATACCAGAGCGAGTGTGAATGTTGTACAGTGTTTACTGTGTGTACAAACTCGCTTACTACTGTGTGTGTCTGTGTGCAGACACATTTGTACATTCCTTAACAAGAGTGTGTTTGAAAGTGTGTGTTTGTTTGCGACACACCCTGTTTTGTAAACTCTACATGGTCCTTGTTATCCTTGCTGAGTTCTCCTCAGGCTGTGTACCTCGCCATCAGCTGCTTTGCCTTTACATCATAAACCACCAACTGTCAAACCAATGAGCTAAACACACACACATACACACACTCTACAAGACAAACCACCAGGTATTTACACTTGCTCTCCTCTTGTTTTCGCCACAGGGCAACTGGAGGACCTGAGGTTGCCATGGGAACTGGCCCCTGGCCCCAGCCCCCTACTGAAGCTGAGCAGCTCCAGGCCCTGATGGCTGCAGCCAACGGTGAGTCCTATACCTCATCGCCATTTTCCTCCCTATCAATTCATCTTCTCTTTTCTAAACCAATTTCTATCTGTTTATCAGATCAGTCAGTGTGCGTGGGCAGTGGTTGTTTATTTAGGTTCCTGCTTGTTTGGAGGGCAACTAGCCAGATTTACTTATTGATAAACTCCTCTCTGCCCACATTGATGTTTCCATGTTGTGACTGTGTCCAAGCAAATCATCCAGAGGAAGACACAGATGATATTCAGACAGTGAATATAGCTACCTGCAGTTCTTCAGATAAACAGTACAGTTGATGTGGTGAATTCAACAACATCACAGGGATGCATGTTTCCACTCATACACATTGATCACATGCATTAACCTTCAGGCTCCTACACAACCAAAGATTCCCATATTGCACAACACATGTGCAACTCCTCCTCCTGCTCTCCTACCCCTCTGCTCCTGCAGTGACGGCCTAACCAGCACTGAGGGGACACACTCACAGTGACTCATCTTTGGGCTGTTACTATGGAAGCCTTCGTAATCACATGGAAAAATACACAAAAAATTGGCTTTGAAAGCAGGCACAGACTATAATGACAGGCAAACACAAAACAACACAGAAATGAAGGAGGCACAAATTCAACAAGATTTATTGCCAAATAGAGTCAGGTCATTGTTTCCACTGTTATTTTAACTACTGACACATCACATGCTCACTCTGCCCTCCTCTTGGACACTGCACCGGACGTTGTGTGGAATTTTTCCTCGGAGTGAACAGAGAGAAAAAATTCTCTGTCTTGGTCTGAGTGGTAACCTGCATGTCAGCACAAAGTTAGACAGAACACACAGTTAGTGTCATCAGGAAAGACAGAAACAGTGCATGCGATAAATACTGAAGGTCGTGTCTCCTCTATGTTTAATGTCATTGTGTTGATAAAGATGATGCTGGAGAAATTCCACAATTAATTAAAGCACTGAGTGGGAGCAGAAAGTGTAGTAAAAAACAGTTTTCAGTATAAAGCCAGAACAGTTAGCATGTCAGTTTTCCTTGTACATATGTGTGTTTATATAGGCTGAGAGGAACTACAGGATGGGGGAGGGAGCGTTTGTGTCTCTGGCTCTGCAATGCAGGGGCTGTGGGAGAATTATGAGCTTAGCAGCTACGTCATTCACACAGACTCAGGGCATGTGTGACAGAAAACCAGAAACACAGAGGAGTATGCTGGGGAGACTGTTTCATCATTCCTGTAAAAAAAAAAAAAAAAAATCTGCACGCACTGAACCATGTTGTAACATCTCTTCTGCCTCTTTTGCTCATATTTTTTCTAATCATGCCCTTGGTTTTTAGTTAGCTTACAACAACCTTGTGTTTTTGCCTGAGTGTGTTTGAATTAAATCTAATGTTCACACTGAATCTACCTTTAATCAAGTACCTTATACCTTATAAAAGCTATAACAGTAGTTTTGTCTCCTTTTATGACCTCTTTTCATTTCTCAACCTCCGTGTAACACTGTCATACTAAAAACCTTCAAATTCTTGTTTTCTAACAAGTTTCATCCCTCTCTCCTTCTCCCTCCTCACCCCTTATTCCCCCACTCTGTCTCTCTTCCCCCCAGAAGTGAGTGAGGCTACGGCCACCCTGGGGCCTGGCACCATGGGCCTTAGCACCCGCTACAGTCCCCAGTTCACTCTGCAGCACGTGCCTGACTACCGCCAGAACGTCTACATCCCCGGCAGCACTGCCACCCTCACCTCCAACCCCCAGCAGCAGCAGGCCACAGCCCAGCAGGCCACCCAGCAGGCCCTGCCCCCGCCCCAGGCCTCAGCCCAGCCCGAGCCCCCCAAGGCCGCCCAGACCCCTGCCTCCAAGAAGAAGTCCACCAAGAAGGAGAAGAAGTAGATTCTGGACGGAGAGAGGTAGAGGAATGATAAACCTGGCCTGATCTGATGAGAAATTCAACCCCCCATATCCCCCCATTAGGTATCTGACTGCTCTGCTGTCACTCATGCTAGCCACGGTCTAAATATTGACAGCAAATCTTTTGGCCGCACGGACGATGTTGATGGTTCTTTGAAAGAGTGTCTTGAAGAATCTGAATGTGTTCAAGGCTGTTGCTGGTGTTGGTAACCTGTGCTGTGCTAAAAGTCTGGTATTGCTCATGTAATCTTTGTTGGTAGATATTTTTGGCAGGGTATGGGGGGTTATTGTGATTTTGGTTTTTTTTTTTGGTTTTTTTTGGCATACTCAAATGAACTTGGACAAAGAGATTCAGTGTAACGAACCTTGCTGGAATGACAAGGCTTTACGCAGTGATGTATTAAGAGATGAAATGTTAATGTCTTTCATGTTGGAGTTATTGTCCTCTTTCCCTGAGGTGGGAATTCAGCTATTGTAAAGTACGCTAGTTGCCATCCATTAGATTCCTATATAGGGTCAGCCTCGCAGGGTCTTAAAGCATAAGTCCTGTGGCTATAAGGCTGTTGTTTGACAGGTATTACAAACTCTTCTGCATGCTCTTTAAGGTTCAAACCACATATACTAGTTTAGAGTTGCAAACTATGCATTGCAAAAGCAAAGAGGAGGACATCCTGAATCTATTATCCTCCCTCCAATCGCAGGTCAATATAATGCACATGTAGCATTTACTTGACACAAAATGAAAATTACTTTTGTAATCATAGTTTAAAAGATAAGATTTAAATCTCCTGTTATTTTTATGACCTGAGCATGCACCCAGAGGAAGGGCTGGCAGAGGGTGGAGTGGCACGGCATTGTGTCGTGGAGTCATGAGCCATGCTGTCCATGCAGGTGGTATAGCAGCAGGGACTGGCTTCTTGTATAACAGCTCCAGATGGGCACAGACATGTCCCGCACCCTCTACTGTCCCCTCCTCATACCCAGCTCGTGTCCTCCCCTCACTCACTACCCCACGTTGAGAGCCAAACAAAGAGAAATGCACTGTTCATATTCTGAAGTTGAGATGATGTAGGGGTAGTAAATCACTTTGGTCTTTAGGGAAACACGTAGATGTGGTAAACTTAAGTGCTTAGGAGTTTCTAGACACTTTGCAGGCCTCTAGGGCCTCGATGGAGTATTTCCCCTCACTATCCTGAAGTGCTGAAGAAACTTATTGATGTGACACAGTAACGTTTTTTTTTAATTTGGGAGATAATGATTCAATAGCATAGAGGAACTGTTTGTATAAGAAATGAAGTCTTTACTTTGCCGTCCATCTGTCTGTCAGGCTCTTGGCCAGATACAACTGCATGAGACATGGCAGCTTGCAGGCTGGGTCGGGGGAGTGGAGGGGGTTGTGGTTAAGGGTAAACAGATTGAGGTGGCACCATTACATCAATAAAGGGGGTGGGGAACACCCATGGCTCTTACCCACTGAATGTACAGAGGAACCACTGTTGACCCACCCACCCCCTAAACTTTCTCTAATGCACTGACCCAGGTAGAGGTCAACAGAGCCAAGCACAGCTGTCCCTGTTGGTGAGGAGACGCCACTCGAGAGCCCTTTGAAATATCCTCCTCCACTGAAATCAATGGGAAACCTTAACCTCTCTACCACTCACCTCTTCCCTTCACTCCCTGGTCCTGTGAGGCTCTTCCCCACTGTAAATAAACTCAAGTCCTGTCGATGGTATGAGCCAGTTGTTTGTATAGTAGGGACCACGTCCAGCATTTTCAAAATAAAAGTCCCTCTCCACAAGGCGTGGCTTACTACTGGAATGTGTTGCATTTTGTTTTTCAAGAAAAATAAGAAAACCACAGTTTGAAAAAAAAAATCAATAATGAATAAAAATCTGAGATGTTCTTCAACAGTTTGTGTTGCAATGTAGTAACTAAGCACCATGGAAGCCAACTAACTCTTCAGTGTAAATAAATGAATTAAAGATAACTTTAGATAAGTAAACAAAGTGACACACGTAGACTAGTTAACTTGTGATATGTGTTGCGCATATTTTTGTGTTCATTTTCTCTCTACTATCTTTTATCACCCTGTAAAGAAAACAAAAAAATATGGAAATGTTTCTATCCTTCTGTAACCTCTTAATGTTCTTTTGCGGTGATTTTATCCTGTGCATTTGTGAAAGAATGCCTCTCATTCTCTTTCTGTCCATATGAACAAATGATTATAAATATTATATATGTGTAAGTCCGTCTGCTGCTGAATTAATACTGCTCTATCCTGCTGTATTATCTTTCTTATCAAATGCTTAGCCCCCACGCTATACCCCTGTGTTACTCTTATTTTTATGCTAATATTTATATTGCTGTTTTATTTTCTCTTGGACACTGACATTTCAAATAAAAAGATTCTGAAATCATTAAAAAAAATATTGTCTATGTCATTTGTTTTCTGCTAATGTGTATTTCTCCTTTATTAACATAAAGGCTACTGATTTCTAGTTAGTTAAATCTGTGCATCATTTACACTACCAGTAAGATCTGTGAAACCTGTGAAAAGCATTACATGCTGTAAGAGCCAGTGTGCTGTGCATTAAGAAGCTTTCTTCTCTTGGGTTTTTTTTGTTTGTGTGACCCACATTCAGCAGGACTGCAGCACTCCCAAAGAAGCTTTGCTCCTGGTCCTCATCCATTGCAGGTGATCTTTGTGGCTGCGAGGCAGATAAAAGAGAGTTGGTTTTAGTTCAAAATGAACATAGACTTTGCTCCTCTTAAATACTGTTCACTCATTACATGATAAATGGGAGTACAACTTTATTGCAATGCTACTTTTGCTGATAGAATGATCCACTACTATATCAAATATAATGAGTCTAATTAAGTTTAATTGACTGAATTTCCCATTTAAACATCACTGCAGCAAGAAAATGATTTAAATAAAAGGATTAACCTGAGCAGGAAAAAATTGTATTATATATTAATTGTACATCATGTACTTTATATACTGTATTGTATATTTTATATAATATTTTATTTCAACAATGAAAACATAGTAGCACAGATAATACAGGAAAGATGCTTCCACTGTTTTAGGTGCTTGGTACAAACATGTAACCCAATTTGTTTACATAGTAAACTGGCTTCAAACCTTTTTCAAAACAAAGAACAGCAATGACTGATTGTACAACACCTGATCTTACATTATGTGATATCTGCTGTTGTCTAAATATAGAAAACAGACTAACAAAGCATTAGGAAAAAATAAAACAGTATTAAAATAAAACATGTCTTTATTTATATAACTCACTCTACCTAAACTCAATGTCTTCTCCTCTAGCTCATCATACCAGAGCTTATTTTTCCTCTCAGGGACTACAGGGAACATGGTAGCCAGCTCAGGCTCTTTGTGCCTTTCACAAGGTCTTACACAATAACATACGTCCCTATAAATAGCCCATGGGAGACGTCACTAAGCAAAACAAAAGGAGCAGGCTTTAACTCACTGCTGCAGATGTTGGGGGATGGAAGGAGCGACTGTTGAGCTGGAGGGATGGAGAAGATGAGAGTGTTGCTCATGAATCTGGCGTGACGTCCATTCTAATGCCAGCTAATGCAGGTTTTCTAACGTAAGGCTGCTGCTTGAAGATTATACAAGAGCTATGAGACATCTAAGAATAAAGATGATTTCAATCATATCTAATAATTTTTCTTATTAAGCTCTTTTAGATGAAATTTTAACATGACAATCCATTTGTTCACACAGCAGCATTCCAACATCAAACACTGCAGATTCACATACCCAAAATGGCTGACTCCTCTCCCTTCCTTCTCTTGTTGTATCATGTGGTTGCTATGGCAACCGTCAGCCCCAGCACTGGATGCTTTTCTCTTGTTCTCCACATCTTCATCACAGATCTGTGCAGTGGCCATTATTGGCTCTGCTCAGGACCTGGCTGAGCTGAATGACCTGCAGGAAGACAAACATGTTCGGCCACTTGTCAAACCTGGCAACACAGAGAAGAGACATATGCAGGAAACATGGCAGAGCCCAGCAGAGAATATCCCACACACAGACTCAAGTGGATGAGTCAGAGGTAATAATGCGCTATGGGTTTGTCCCAGTTTGATTCACTGGAGGTTTACAGGGTGAGCTTCCATTTGAGAGCTATTCTAATTGTGAGTAACAATCAACGGAAATTTCAATATTATTCATGTGTATATAATGCATAATGTATGGGTATGGTACTTTTGCCAGCTGATGTTTGTCATACTGTGACTCACAGAGACTCTTGATGTCCTCACTGTCCCCATGTGTCACCCATTTCCTGGAGGGGAGACCCAACAGAATGGGGAGATTGTTCTTTTATTGCCCCCCCCCTCCTTTTTGCTTAATTAAGCACATTCCTGTTGATTATACACACATACACACACACACACACACACACACACACACACACACACACACACACACACACACACACACACACACACANCACACACACACACACACACACACACACACACAGATGTACACAATAGTGTCACAGTCTTACATAGGCAAAAACCTTCAAACCAGTGATATATAGCAGGGTTGTCCAGTAAGGGGAAGCTGTAGCAGACTGCAACTTGACAATGGACTGCCTGTGTGTGATAATACCATTAGTCAGCCAGGACACAAGACAGAATAACAGGCATCGTCACATCCTGAATGTGAAACATGTACATGCAGGCAGCCATGTGGCAGCCCACGAACACACAGTCAGTCAGTGAAGAAGTCAGACATTCAAACACACACTTAAACAGTCTCATATTCAAATGTATACTAACTTGACTAAGAATAGTGGGAGAGAAAGCAGAGCTGCCACTCTTTTCTCTCAGTGTGTGAGCTGCCAGGAACTTCCAGCGAGAGGAAACAAGGATCTCATTTCATGCTGAGGAGGATCACCCCTGATCCATGTGGGAAAAGAGCAGGACATGACGTAACAGGCTACTTGTGGCGGGACAGGAAGTGAGTTTCCGCGCCTCTTTTACTCTTATTTCCCTTCTCAGTAGTTCAGCGAAGGGAAGTACCCCCCACCACCACCACCCCCTCATCCTCCTTCACTGACTTCCTCTCTTCTTCCTACCCTGGCGCCCCCCTCCCGCTCACACCCTTCTTCCTCCCATCCTGCAGCTGTCTCTGCAGTGTATATAGGGTCACCAACACATGTTGAAGGACAGAGCTCTGCTCTGTGGATATGCTCACTGGAAGCACAGCAGAGATAAAGACCAGTTTAATCTGGACTTTAGCAGGGAAGAACGTTGGGATGATATGTATATATTTACAACACCACAAATTAAGTGGAGCTGAAATCCAAGTGACACACTAAATGGAGATTACGTTTGAAAGTTTAAAAGACCCTTAGGCAGGCAGCAGTGAGTTAATATGATTTATTCTCATGCAGTGCAGGGGACAGACAGATAGGGACACCACTGTTTTTTGGACAGATGTTCCTAACAAGGGCGTAAGTTTGCATATGGACCAGTCCCTATACTTGGGAGGACAAAATTGTACCTACCAATAATGGAGAGAACTCGTTCACACTATTTTTAGAGTCATATTAGGTCATTCAAACGACTATGACATTTGTATGCCTGCGATACTATGACATTTTTTAGGACTTGCTGTACTGTGATATTTTTTTTGTCTTACTATGACTTTTTTTGTGACTTACGATATTATGTTTTTAATGCCTTACTGTACTATGACGTTTTTATTACTTTTTAGGCCTTCTTAATGATGTTTTGTTGATTTTTTTTTCCTACTATACTACATCGTATACCTGACTATACTATGACATTTTGATGCCTTACTATACTATGTTGTTTTTATGACATTTTATACATTACTACACTATGACCTTATGACTTTTAATGTCTTACTATAATATGTTGTTTTAATGCCTTTTTATGCCTGACAACACTGTCGTTTTTTAAGACTTTTTATGCCTTACTATACTATGACTTTTTATACCTTACTATACAATGTTGTTTTTATGACTTTTGGTGCCTTACTATACTATGACCTTTTGATGACTTTTTTTGCACTACTATACTATGACTTTTTATGCCTCACTATACAATGTTGTTTTTATGACTTTTAATGCATTATTATACTATGACATTTTTATGATTTTTTATGCCATACTATGTCGTTTTTATGACTTTTGCTAACTTACTATATTATGACCTTTTTATGAGTATTTATGCCTTATCATACTATGTCGTTTTTATAACTTTTGGTGGCTTACTATACTATGACTTTTGCTAACTTACTATATTATGACCTTTTTATGAGTATTTATGCCTTATCATACTATGTCGTTTTTATAACTTTTGGTGGCTTACTATACTATGACTTTTGCTAACTTACTATATTATGACCTTTTTATGAGTATTTATGCCTTATCATACTATGTCGTTTTTATAACTTTTGGTGGCTTACTATACTATGACTTTTGCTAACTTACTATATTATGACCTTTTTATGACTTTTTATGCCTCACTATACAATGTTGTTTTTATGACTTTTGGTGCCTTAGTATACTATGACTTTTTTGCCTTTACTATGTTGTTTGAATGATGTTTTATGCCTGACTACGCTATGTCATTTTTATAACTTTTTGTGCCTTACTATACTATGACTTTTTTAATTACTTTATATGCCTTGCTATACTATGACGTTTTTTATGACTTTTTATACCTTACTATACTGTGACCTTTTTATGAATATTTATGCCTTATCATACTATTTAGTTTTTATGACTTTTGGTGGCTTACTATACTATGACCTTTTCATGGCTTTTTATGCCTTACTATACAATGTTGTTTTTATGACTTTTGGTGCCTTACTATACTATGACCTTTTTATGACTTTTTATGCCTTACTACACTATGACTTTTTAATTACTTTATATGCCTTGCTATACTATGACGTTTTTCTGTATTTTCGTCCCATCCTATACTATGATGTTTTTATGACTTTTTATACCTTACTATGCTGTGACCTTTTTATGAGTATTTATGCCTTATTAAACTATGTCGTTTTTATGACTTTTGGTGCCTTACTATACTATGACCTTTTCATGACTTTTTATGCCTTAGTATACTATGACCTTTTTATGACTTTTTATGCCATACTATAGTATGACTTTTTTTTGCCTTACTATACAATGTCGTTTTTATGACTTTTGGTGCCATACTATACCACGACATTTTATGATATTTTATGCCTTACTATACTATGACTTTTTATGCCTTACTATACAATGTTGTTTTTATGACTTTTTATACCTTACTATACTATGACTTTTTATGCCTCACTATACAATGTTGTTTTTATGACTTTTAATGTATTATTATACTATGACATTTTTATGACTTTTTATGCCATAGTATACAATGACGTTTTATGATTTTTGGTGACTTACTATACTATGACCTTTTCATGACTTCTTATGCATTACTATACTATGACCTTTTTATGACTTTTAATGCATTATTATACAATGACATTTTTATGACTTTTTATGCCATATTATAAAATGACGTTTTTGTGACTCTTAATGACTATTATACTATGACCTTTTCATGACTTTTTATGCCTTACTATACTATGGCTTTTTATGCCTTACTATACAATGTTGTTTTTATGACTTTTAGTGCCTATACTAGGACCTTTTTATGATTTTTCATGCCATACTATTCTATGTCGTTTTTATGACTTTTGCTGCCTTACTATATTATGACCTTTTTATGAGTATTCATGCCTTATTATACTATGTCGTTTTTATGACTTTTGGTGCCTTACTATACTATGACGTTTTTATGACTTTTTATGCCATACTATACTATGACGTTTTTATGACTTTTGGTGGCTTACTATACTATGACCTTTTTATGACTTACTACATTTGTTTTTTGTGAATTTTAATGCCTTGTTATACTATGAAATTTGTATGACTTTTTATGCCATACTATACTATGACTTTTTTTTGCCTTACTATACTATGTTGTTTTAATGATGTTTTATGCCTTATTATACAATGTTGTTTTTATGACTTTTGGTGCCTTACTATACTATGACCTTTTTATGACTTTTTATGCCTTAGTATACTATGGCTTTTTTCATGCCTTACTATACAATGTTGTTTTTATGACTTTTGGTGCCTTACTATACTATGACCTTTTCATGACTTTTTATGCCTTAGTATACTATGGCTTTTTATGCCTTACTATACAATGTTGTTTTTATGACTTTTGGTGCCTTACTATACTATGTCCTTTTCATGACTTTTTATGCCTTAGTATACTATGGCTTTTTATGCCTTACTATACAATGTTGTTTTTATGACTTTTGGTGCCTTACTATACTATGTTGTTTTAATGATGTTTTATGCCTTATTATACTATGTCGTTTTAATGACTTTTGGTGCCTTACTATACTATGACCTTTTCATGACTTTTTATGCCTTACAATACTATGACTTTTTTAATTACTTTATATGCCTTGCTATACTGTGATGTTTTTCTGCATTTTCATGCCTTACTATACTATGATGTTTTTATGACTTTTTATACCTTATTATACTGTGACCTTTTTATGAGTATTCATGCCTTATTATACTATGTCATTTTAATGACTTTTGGTGCCTTACTATACTATGACGTTTTTATGACTTTTCATGCCATACTATACTATGATGTTTTTATGACTTTTGGTGGCTTACTATACTATGACCTTTTTATGACTTATTACATTAAATTGTTTTTTGTGACTTTTAATGCCTTGTTATACTATGAAATTTCTATGACTTTTTATGCCATACTATACTATGGCTTTTTATGCCCTTACTATACAATGTTGTTTTTATGACTTTTGGTGCCTTACTATACTATGATGTTTTTATGACTTTTGGTGGCTTACTATACTATGACCTTTTTATGACTTTTTATGCCTTACTATACTATGACTTTTTATGCCTCACTATACAATGTTGTTTTTATGACTTTTAATACATTATTATACTATGACTTTTTTATGACTTTTTCTGCCATACTATACAATGACGGTTTTATGACTTTTGGTGACTTACTATACTATGACCTTTTTATGACTTTTTATGCCTTACTATACTATGACCTTTTTATGACTTTTTATGCCTTACTATACTATGACCTTTTTATGACTTTTTATGCCTTACTATACTATGACTTTTTATGCCTCACTATACAATGTTGTTTTTATGACTTTTAATACATTATTATACTATGACATTTTTATGACTTTTTCTGCCATACTATACAATGACGTTTTTATGACTTTTGGTGACTTACTATACTATGACCTTTTTATGACTTTTTATGCCTTACTATACTATGACCTTTTTATGACTTTTTATGCCTTACTATACTATGACCTTTTTATGACTTTTTATGCCTTACTATACTATGACCTTTTTATGACTTTTTATGCCTTACTATACTATGACCTTTTTATGACTTTTTATGCCTTACTATACTATGACCTTTTTATGACTTTTTATGCCTTACTATACTATGACCTTTTTATGACTTTTTATGCCTTACTATACTATGACCTTTTTATGACTTTTTATGCCTTACTATACTATGACCTTTTTATGACTTTTTATGCCTTACTATACTATGACCTTTTTATGACTTTTTATGCCTTACTATACTATGACCTTTTTATGACTTTTTATGCCTTACTATACTATGACCTTTTTATGACTTTTTATGCCTTACTATACTATGACCTTTTTATGACTTTTTATGCCTTACTATACTATGACCTTTTTATGACTTTTTATGCCTTACTATACTATGACCTTTTTATGACTTTTTATGCCTTACTATACTATGACCTTTTTA